ATCAAATAAATGCAGCCTTGATGAGCAGAAGAAACTCCTGTAAAAAACATAAAAAATCATTCTGATCCCAAACTTTTGACCAGTAGTGTATATATTTTCTTCTTCATAATGTCTTGATAAATGTCTATTTTATACATATGTTCCCTTGTTTTGGTAAATCGTGACAAATCATACTAATTTGGTAAATCGTACTAATTCATTCCCTAGTTTTAGTAAATTGTGGCCATGCTGTATTAAATTGTTCTCTCATTGTACTAAATTGTGGCCACATTGTACTAATTAGTTTTCTTGTTTTAGTAAAGTGTGGTCAAGTTGTTTTTAGAAATTTAAAGAAATTAAGAATTCATTCCCTCTTTTAGGGAAAATCATGGTCATGCCGTATTAATTTGTCCCGCTGTTTTGGTAAATCGTGGCTATATCATACTATTTGTGTCCCTGCAGCACAAAAGCAGTGTTAAGTCGCTGGGGTATATTTGTAGCAATAGCCAACAATACATTGTATGGGTCAAAATTATACATTTCTCTTTTATGCCAAAAATCATTAGGTTATTAAGTAAAGATCATGTTCCATGAAGATATTTTGCAGATTTCCTACCGTAAATACATCAAAACTTAATGTTTGATTAGTAATATGCATTGCTAAGAACTTCATTTGAACAACTTTTAAGGACTTCATTTGGACAACTTTAAAGATGATTTTCTCAATATTTAGATTTTTTTGCACCCTCAGATTCCAGATTTTCAAATATTGTCCTATCCTAACAAACCATACATCAATGGAAAGCTTATTTATTCAGCTTTCAGATGATGTATACATCTCAATTTCCCTTATGGTCCAGGGTCACAATTGATTCATTATGAAGGTAAAAAAATAAAACAATGGCACAAATTAACTTAATTATTTTTGTCTGCAAATCATGTGCAGATCTTGTTATTCTTAATTTTAAGTTGTCGTTAGTTATTGTTATATTTCTTGTCATTGCTTGTTTAGGTGTGATGCTTTGGCAATATTGATATAATGAAGTGAAGAAGTGTGTTTCAGGCCGGTACCGATCACACTGCTGGTGGTTCCTCCGGGGCAGCCCACGGTGGAGAGACACGGGCCATTATTCCCAGCGCTCGACACAAACAACACATTATACTTCTGTACAGCTTCCGTGATGACCTCACAGATCCTCCTGAAGAACACACAGACGTGAATCATAATGTCATGATTTTGTTTTGGGGGTGTACTAGAACAGGCTCTCATACTAGGTTGTTCGAAAAACACATTATTTTTCACATATTTTACATTATTACAACACCTCTCTCCCCAGTCTGGCATGAACGGCTCGAATAGTTCCTGTATCAACACAGTGTGTGCTGTGATTGGTTAGCTGGGCCAGTGTGAGCTGTGATTGGTTAGCCGGGCCGGTGCGTGCTGTGATTGGTTAGCCGGGCCGGTGCGTGCTGTGACTGGTTAGCCGGGCCGGTGCGTGCTGTGACTGGTTAGCCGGGCCGGTGCGTGCTGTGACTGGTTAGCCGGGCCGGTGCGTGCTGTGACTGGTTAGCCGGGCCGGTGCGTGCTGTGACTGGTTAGCCGGGCCGGTGCGTGCTGTGACTGGTTAGCCGGGCCGGTGCGTGCTGTGACTGGTTAGCCGGGCCGGTGCGTGCTGTGACTGGTTAGCCGGGCCGGTGCGTGCTGTGACTGGTTAGCCGGGCCGGTGCGTGCTGTGACTGGTTAGCCGGGCCGGTGCGTGCTGTGACTGGTTAGCCGGGCCGGTGCGTGCTGTGACTGGTTAGCCGGGCCGGTGCGTGCTGTGACTGGTTAGCCGGGCCGGTGCGTGCTGTGATTGGTTAGCCGGGCCGGTGCGTGCTGTGACTGGTTAGCCGGGCCGGTGCGTGCTGTGATTGGTTCGCCGGGCCAGAGTGTGCGGTGATTGGCAGCACTCTGCGCCTGGTCGGGAAATGTCATGGAAAATATGCGTTGTAGTCCAAACGAGTCATTCGTTGTAGTTTTTGAAAAGTGATTTCTGTTAAATAAAATATCTCCTTTTGAAGTGGACTTTGAGCTTTGTAACTTTGTAGATCTTTTTTAGACTCAAACAGCAACATTACAGACTTACTAAAGTTGAAAAAGTGAAAAAGCACAATAGGACCCCTTTAAAGTTCATAACGTTCCATCGAGCAAGTGGTTTGAACAATCCAGCAACTTGCAGTGACACACTCGGATGAGAATAAAAGCTACAGAAATACACGTGACTTGACTTCGGCCGTGTATTTTGCAGTGAGAGACTCACCCTGAGTTTGGCCAGTGTGTCGCCTCCCCGTAACTGTAGTTCACAAGATCACACTTATAGTTTATGACTTCAATCATCTGCAAACAGAGATCACAAATAACACAATCAATAAAGCAACCGTTATACAGGAGTTCTTGGTGTCAATGTCTGTGAATGTCTGTATTCTCAGGACAGGATCTTTTCTCTTCTTTTAACGTCGCGAGTCGAGCTTTATCGTCATGCTCAATGTCGTGTCTTGCAGGACCACGGTGCTATATACTAGCTAAACATAAATATAAACATACAACAATAGAAGTATAAGAAAAACAATTGCAAACCTATTCAACAGTTAACCATATACTATAAATAGTTGACTAAACATGCACATAATCTGAGACTGTACAAGAACTTTACATAAACAACCCTCTACGCACACCTTGGCAATATAATCGCCATTGGCTAGTAAATTTTTTTGTTTACTCGCCAGACTGATATACTATTTTACACACACACGTTTACTTAGCTATCTAAATGGGGACATTACATAGACTTCTATTGTTTTTATATACAGATAGTTATACACGTTTTAACCTAAACCCACCCCTAACCCTACCCCTCCCAGAAAGGTTTCTGCATTTTTACAATTTCAAAAGTAAAAAAAAAACTTTGTGTACGCCTCTCACACACATACTGGTGTGTAAAATCTAAGAATTTATTAGCCAATGGCTAATGTTAGACATCATTTAGTCGCCCAGAGTAAGATTTAGTCGCATATGCGAGTGATTTACTCGCAAAGTAGAGGGTTGATAAATACTGCACATGAAATAATGCAAAAGAGATATTTTAGGGGAAGCAGCACAAAGTAAACATATATGTGAGCCTGCAGCACAAAAGCAGTGTTAAGTCGCTGGGGTATATTTGTAGCAATAGCCAACAATACATTGTATGGGTCAAAATTATTGATTTTTCTTTTATGCCAAAAATCATTAGGATATTAAGTAAAGATCATGTTCCATGAAGATATTTTGTAAATGTCCTACCGTAAATATATCAAAACTTAATGTTTGATTAGTAATATGCATGGCTAAGAACTTCATTTGGACAACTTTAAAGGCAATTTTCTCAATATTTTGATTTTTTTGCACCCTCAGATTCCAGATATTCTAATAGTTGTATCTCGGCCAAATATTGTCCTATCCTAACAAACCATACATCAATGGAAAGATTATTTATTCAGCAAAAAACTGACCCTTATGACTGGTTTTGTGCTCCAGAGTCACATTT